TCCCACCATTTGCAGACACTTGGCATCTAATTTGGATTGAATAGCAGTATGTACTCTTGGCCCATTTTATCTTCCCTCATTCTCAGGAAGGGTGTCAAGCCTACCATGACCTTAGACAAATGAAGGGCATGGACACTTCCACTTAACCATTCTGGACTTGTGTAGTTCTGGAATCCTCCAGTCGGATATTTAGGATGAGTGTTTATAAGGAAGAAGATGAGTGGACTTAGTTCCATGAGGGAGAGTTCTTGTTTGAATGGTGGTTATTGGTGAGGTGGTTGTAAGAGATAGTTGTGTAAACCTCAGATGTAACAGTGGTGTGAATCTCAGCAGAGACCTGCATTCTGGGGCTTACCCAATACATGTGTTTCAGCAAATTGTTTAGGATTTTAGGTACCCCAGCACCAGAGATGTCTTTGGGAAATGAAAGCAAGGCCCAGTGTGGATTTTCCACAACATCAGGAATCTCAGTGATGAATTCACACATTATTCTCTGCAGAGCCTTATGAGCCAAAGTTGAAAGCCTGAAACACACATGTTTCTCAAAATTTAGACCCATTTGAACGGCTGCATGCAGCCTGTTGACCAAGATCTGCAAAGCCCACTTGGCATGAGTTCTACAGATGTTCCAGCTAAAGGAGATTCTTCACCAATTATTAGCCCTTGTCTCAATCCAAATTCCACATAACCTCTTACTTCATTCTTCAAATATGGCCATACCAATAGCCTGAAAATTTGAAAATTCCCATGACCTGGAACCACTGAAGCACTTTAAAATAGCTCCTTATTGCTCGTCATGACTGAATGACAGAGGGAATTCATTGACAGAAACTCATGAAAATGCTGGAGATCATAGAACCAGTGAGTTTGAGCATGCTGATGAAGGTGCCTGGGGCAGGAGAGTAGGTGTGTGCCAAGAAATCTGTGACAAAACCATGTGGATGTGGCATTGGCATCCAAACAGCATGTTTCTCAAATCATGAAGCTAGCAGACTGTCCCAAGTCAAGGCATCCTGTTGTGGAGAATTTTTTGGAGCTATACTCAGAATCAGGGTTCTAGTCTGAGTTGGGAAATATGTATGTGATAGCAGTCAGGCTGATGTTTTCTCCTGCAGATATTGATTCACCACCTGTGATGTAAGTCCCTCTAGCACTTTGTCCCAGCTGAGCTTGATATCCTTCTTTAAACAAATACCAAACTCCCTGTGATAGCATTAGAACTACTGTGAAACCTAGATGGTTTCCCAATGGCTTCACACTGCACACAGAGACATTCAGCCCCCACGGGTCACAGTTTATCTCCAGGAAGAGGATTCAGCTCTCCTGCCTCATGCACATTGGAAAACAGAAAACTATGTCTTCTAGTTCACTTAGGTGGAGATCCAGTTGTGATTTTCTAACTTCAAAGAGAGCCAACACTCAACAGCAACATAAATTTCAAGTACCAAAATTGTAGAGGCAAGTTGTCAAGCAATCATTAGGCCAGCACACTTTCATATTTGTGCCTTGTTTACCTTTACCCTATCTTTATACTCTTCTCTATTACCTCCAACATTTTGAGCTCCTGAGCATTTCCCATTTCAGATATGCAATCACAGACATCCTTCTTATTCTCCCTATAATTGTCTCTTATTTTGGGCAAAGGTAATTTTATCTCACTGTTTAGGAGGGCATGTAAGTATTTTTGCCTATCACATGTTCAAACACACATTCTTTGAATTTTCATGTTTTACAGTCTACTTATTCAATCTCTAACCCTAACTCTAACCCAATTAAATATTGACTACTTATTCAAACATTATTGGTAAAACTAAATGTAATATCAACAAAAAAAACAGATACTATGAGATTTTACATATATATTCTGTTTCCTTTTATCAATGGAATTGCTACACAACTAGTCACATATTCACTATAATACTTATCCATGAATACTCAAATTTTAAAAATGCATACTATCATTACTCTCATCATAATGTACCCTGGGTGAGAACACGTATTTTTATATACATATATATTGCCACACATATTATCACATTCATTCTTATGAGTACTCTATTTTAGAAGATACAAATTCCCATACCAGAACACTAACCCTAAAATTTGCATGAACTGAAAAATAAACCTTACATGACCTCCATAATAGAACTAATTTTTACATAAAATCATGTACAAAAAAATGAATATGTGTACCTTCAATTATATATATTCAATTATGAATGGCACATTTGTATGCATATTCCTATCAACTAGTGTATATATATACTAAATATTTAAGGTATGAGTCATGCTGTAACCTGAGTTCTTACATATATTCCAGAATGAACCCTAGGCTATAAAAAGGCATCCATGTAGGCCCTGCAAGGCATAATCCCATCTTCCAGGACAATCAATATGGTCAGAATGAGGGTATGGGTCTGTATCAAGCTCTATTTCCTTTATCCTGGGAAGATGGACATTACCAGGCTTGTCTGAATTCCTGATACACGGTGCATTGCTATAACATTATCAACTTGTGAAAATGTCACAGGAAGATGAGTGTAGCTTTCATCTCATAGGCCCTTTGTGTCACATGGTAGAAGAAAGTGGTTGCCAAGGAAGTAACTTCCCTTCACATGCTTGTTAATGGAACTTGCTGTACTTTAAATACAATGTGAATGCTAGATTCCTAAAGCCAGATATGGCTTGGTCTGCTAACTTGTTTTGAGTCACCAAGTACAGAGTCATACATTCTTGATGTCTACTGATCTATAAGTAGGCAAATGCCAGAAGATGTCTGAGTTGTAACCTTTCCTGAGAATGGAGTTACTGGATTATCCCTGTGTCATGACAACTCCAGTGAGTTTTCCCAAGGAGACTAGAGATGAGAAAGGACAGACATATCCCAATTGGGATTTTTAGATACCCAATTGCAGGTTAACATAGTTTAACCCACCAGTCAGATGACACTTTGGATAGACACAGACACCAGATGTGTGTGTGTGTGTGTGTGTGTGTGTGTATGCACACACACACTCTTGTGCCTGTTCTGTGTGTGTGTTTGTATTTGTGTTTCTGTCTCATATTCCCTGAATGAAAAATCATTTGTTTAGTGTTCATTGATTTGATAGTATAGAGTCATTTAATGATGGCTACTGTTTCTATGTTGATATAATCCTATTTAATTTCCCAGGCTAGGGAAAAGACAACCAACTTCCATCAGTGAATGTGTCCTGTCTAGTGGAAACATTCCTAGAACTCATCCTGTCAAATTTATGAATGGAATACTTTTTGTCCTGTGCATGGGGAACACATACTATGTTCTTGACTTTGTATATTTCTAATGAAATTTGGCAAATACCCAGAAGTTGTACATGGTTTTGTGCAAAAATTGTATTACACTTCCACACCCTGTGAATTGGCCATATATTGGCTTAGAAAAGGGAATGTTGAGCATATACCTGAAATTTAGTAAGCACTGTGAAAGGTAAGGTTTTTAGATGAAAACTCTTGCTGTACAGATAGAAATCCAAGTAGGATAAGCAGTAGGAGTAATTTCCATAGCCCTGCTGCTGTTGAAAAGCCTGTCAAGGGCTCTGGTCTTCCCTATTGTTCTCTCCTCACCCATGTGATTGTGTTCTATGCTTCAGATCTCTGTGTTGTGAAGCCTCAGAAAAAGCAGATTCAAAATTTGGAATGATTCTCTTGACTACATCTAGGAAGCTTGCTGACATTCATATAGCACGAACAGGGACTCTTTGTCTGAAATGAGTTTGTCCTGGCCCTGAGATAGCAAGGACATAAGTGGTTGAGTTTTTTTCTTGGCTCAAATACACATAAAGAACCTACCATTGGCAGACACTTGGCCTCCAAATTGGGAGAAAGTACAGTCATAACTTGCAGCCCACTTTAGCTTCCATTGTTCTCAGGAAGTGTCAAGCCCTCCATGCCCTTAGAGATGAGGGGCACATAATGTTACATTTCACACAATTCTGGACTTCTGTATGTACGAAATCCTCCAGCCAGATGTTAAAGAGGAGTGGATACATGGAAAAGGCTTAGTGGACATTGGGCCATGAGGGAGTAGTCCTGTTTTAAGTGTGGGTTATTTGTGTGATTGCTATAACTGACAGCTGGATAAAACTCAGGATCCATGCTGATTGAATCTCAGCAGTGAACCAAATTCTGAGGCTAACCCATTCAAAACATTGCAGTGGATTTTGTTGGGATTTTAGATACCCAAGCATCAGAGGTGTCCTTGGGAACTTAAAGCTAGGCCAAGTGTGGATTTCTCCACAACATTAGAAATATCAGCCAGAATTTCACACCACTTTTCTCTGTAAAGCCTTATCTGGAAATGTTGGGAGCCTGAAACACATATGTGCCTCACATATTAGACCCATTTTCCTGTTGAATATGACCTCTTGGTCACTGTTTGGGAAGCTCTTGCTGCTTGTGTTCCCTATAGATTCCAGCTAAAGGAGATTCCTTGCCATTCAGGGGCCTCTGTATCACTCCAGACCCCACAGCACCACTTAATCCATTTTGAAATATGGCTATACCTATACCTTGAAATTTTTTAAGTTCCCTGGACGATGAATCACAGGAATTTCTTAGAACCCCCTTTGCTCAACATGATTGAATCAGAGGTAAACTTCATTGTCCAGAACTCACTAAAATGCTACAGAACACAGTCACAAGTGAGTCTGAGTCTTCTGATGATGGTAGGACAGATAACTGTTGATGTGTGCAGTGATATCTGTGCCAAGACCAGAGGAATCTGGCATTTGCTTCCAAATTACATGTTACTGACATCATGCAATGGGATGTCCTCAAATATGAAGGCATCTTGTTGTGGGGAGTGGTTCAGGGCTATGCTCAGAATCATGTTTCTACTCTGAATTGGGAAAGACACATTAGATAGCAATCAGTTTGGTGTTTTCTTCAGCAGCCCTTGATTCACCACACGTGATAGAACTGCCTTCAACACTGTTTCAGTTTACCTTCTTATATCCTTGCAGCATATTGCCAAATTCCCTGTGATGAAGCAATGTCAGCCATGAAACCTGGAGCATGGCCCAGTGGCTTCACAATCAACACAGGGAGACATTTAGCCACCAGTGGCCACAGTTCAACTCCAGGAAGTGGATTCAGCTCTGCTGCCTCAGTGCACATCTGATGATATTAAGCAACGTCTACTTGTTCACATAGAAGGAAATCCAGTTATGATTGTCTCATTTAAAGAAAGCCAACATTCCTGACAGCAACATAAATTTCAGGCAGCAAATGTTTAGAAGAAGGTGTCAAGAAATTATTAGGCCAACACACCTCCATATCTGCAGAACATTTTTCCTCTACCCTAGTTTGATAGTCCTCTCTGCCACCTCCATCATTGTGAGTTCCTGAACATTTTCAATTTCAGAGGTGCCATCACACATATCCTTCTTCTTCTATCTTTAATTGTCTCTTTTATTTTTTGTCATGGTACTTTTATCTCATTGTTTAGCATGACATTAGTAAGCATATTTGTGTAACATGTTTGCATGCAATTCTATGAATTTTTATTTTTCATGATCTACATATTCAATCTCTAACTCTAATCCTACTTAATATTTGCTACTAACCATTACATTACTGCTAAAACTAAACCTATTGTAACAAAAATGCAATTTGAATAATGTGAGGTTTTATGTAGTTTGATTTGCATCTTCAATTGTCAATGGTATGTGTTATACAACAGGTCATATATTCATTATAATACATATTCATGAATTTTCAACTTTATAAAATGCATAACTACATGACTCTCATTACAGTATACCCTGTGTCACAACATGTAATTTTATTTTTATTTTTTTAAGAGAGAGAGAGAAGAAAGAGAGAGAGAGAGAGAGAGAGAGAGAGAGAGAGAGTTTTTCTAATATTTACTTTTCAGTTTTAGGTGGACACAACATCTTTATTTTATTTTATGTGGTACTGAGGATTGAACCCAGTGCCCTGCACATGCCAGGCAAGCAGGTTTCCACTTGAGCCACATATTTTTATATGCATATATATTGTCATACATATTATCACATGTATATTCTAATGAATGTTCCAATTTGAAATATACAAATTCATTCCCTAAGCCAAACACTATCCCTAAAAGTTGAATGATATGAAAATTAAACCTTAAGTGACATCTATACCTGAAGAAATATTTACATGAAGCAATGTAGAATAAAATGAATATTTATGTGTACTGTGAATTATATATTTCAAGTAAAAATGGCATATTTGTCTGTATATTACTGTACACTTATATATATAATATATGTATCCATCCACAAATTACAAAATATTTAATATATGAGTCACATTGTACTCTACTTGATTCTATACATGTATTTTCATCTAGCTTTAATGCAAACTCTCACATGGACTTTTTCAGGAATATTCATATTTCCTTATGTACAATTCATTCCCTCATCTTAACCCTAAAACTTTAAATATTTGTTACTAACCCTAATACTACTATTGTAAGTATAACTAATTTAACATAAATGCATGTGCATTTATATGAGATATATATTTTGACTTATATTTTCAATTATTAATAGTTTATTAGCATTTAAATTAGTATATACTCATTTTATGATATATCCATTCATCCATAAGTGAAAATAAATTGTGTTTGTTTTTCACTTTATTTCATTTTCTGTTTTATAATGCATATATTCATACATGTTTTCATATGTACATTCTTATAAATATACATAATACTTGATATACATATTTATTTAGTAAGCCTAATCCTAACTAACTCAATATATAATACTAACACTAATATTACCACTATAACTACAACTAGTATGACATAAATATAAAATTCCATGTTTTTTTTTAAATATAATTTTAAACTTCAATGTTCACTTTGCTTAAAACATACTCTATAATCATTTCCTTAACTTGGGCAATTCCCAAATTAATTTTGAACAATATAATCAAATATATGGAAAGATTATGCTTCCAAATTCTGGCATGCATGATGTTGATTTACTTTATTAGAAATTAGAAATGTTTCTCATATATACACATGTATGTATATTCATGTGTGTTTGTGTGTATGTATAAATAATTTAGAGGTCCATTTTGGATACATTAAGCTTATCTGATTCTATAGATACAGATATATTTGGTTTTTAAATGTGTTTTTTTTTCCACTTTGGTAGAATTTTTGCTGATTTGTCTATGACTTGTGACATTCATTCATTCATTAATACAATAATTCTCTGAACCAAGTATTTATTGAGTGATTTTCAAAGTTTTACTCAATGTCAAAAATGACAACTGTTATGGAGAATTTGTCTATTGGATGCCTGTGACTCTTGACAGTTCACATGCATCATAGTTTAAGTCACTGGTTTTCAAAATGTTTCTACTTAATTAATCCTTCAGTTTCTTGTTCAAAAGATTTATTCCTTGGCTCTATTAGAAGAGATTCTAGTTTACTAGTTCTGAAATTCAGCCCTGGCATTTTAAATATGTGTTGTCAGAGGTCAGTGACAGGGTTATTGTGAAAACCACCTCTTGAAAACCACTGAGCTCACTAATTGCTATGATTTGACTGCATGCCTCTTAAATCAATTGCAACACAATCCCCAATGCGGTGGCATTGAGAAGTGTCAACTTTTGGAAAAGTGATTATGTTATGACGGATTTGCAGCTATGGGAAGGTTAATGCCTTACAAAAATGCTCTAAACAATGATCTTGGACATTAATTGTTCTTCTGCTTTTCTAGCTTATAAAGACAGTGTTCAAGGGCCATCCTGGAAGCAAAGAATGGGGCCTTCAGCAGACACTAAACCTGCTTGCACCTTGATTTTGAGGTGCCAAGCTTTCAGAAGTGTGAGGAAATAAATTTCTTTTGAAAATAAATTACACAGTCTCAGGTGGTTTGTTACAGCAGCAATAATCTGGTAAGATTACACTATACTTCCCCCCCAAAAGCTATTGAAAGAAATGGGAATGAAAATTGAGAATACAATGATGTTATGATGGAAGAGTTCAGGCATTAGACATTCTATGTAGCGTTTCCAGTACTGCATTACTTTTCTCTTTAAAATATTTTTTCACTGAAGTGCATGTTTGTGTCCTCAAATAAAAAGTTTTTCTTTCCATGTGGTTCAATTTGTAAGACTGATTGGTGATATAGATTGAATTGCTTGGTTTACTGTTTTCATTCGGTTATAAAAGTGAATAGATTCATTGATTAGTTGTTCAAATTATTTCTTTGTATGCTCCTAGTACATTTTATTCATTTTCTCTGTGTGGCCTTCAGCATTCCTTTGCCCATATAATTCCAAATATAGCATGTCTTCCTAATAGATATTTGAATATTTTTTAGATATAGGTGTAGAACTGCTGGTTGATATGAGATTATCCAGGTTGTCTCCTATATTAGGTAATATTTTCTAATGTTATTGGTGTAAGGAAGTTGCATATCTTTATCAATTATGCTCTAATTTATTATTTTAAAATCTCATTTTTTAGATGTTTGTTAAGGGATACATAGAACTTTAACTTGTTAAGAAAAAGAGAGGGGCTAGGGATGTGGCTCAAGCGGTAGCGTGTTTGCCTGGCATGCGTGCAGCCCGGGTTCGATCCTCAGCACCACATACAAACAAAGATGTTGTGTCCGTCGATAACTAATAAATAAATATTAAAAAAAAGAGAAATTTTTCAAGAAGAAGATGTTGAATCATGACTCAAAGAAAAGACCAGCAACTCCAATTTTAAATCAAATTAAAGCAAGCTTATATTATGTACACAAAGAAGGCTAGCCAGTGACTGTCTCTCAAAACTGGGATAGACACCAGCCCAGCTCTCAGGGAAGAAAAAGTTTATATAGCACAAAAAGTTACAAAGGGGGTTGTTTTGGAAACTCACAGCTGACAGTGTTCTGGCAAATGAATTACAAGGGAAGAAAGAAGAAGCAGGAAGGAGCAAAAGGGTTTGACTTGCTCCTCCATGTCAAAGTACATTGTATCCGAAGATTGCACAAGTGAAGATTTTAAGAGGTGGTGACACAAGTGGGTGTGCGCTGAGCTGTAACAGGTATATATAAAATGGGGATCCCTATAAAGCTTTCCAATGGTGGATGTATTAAATAGATATTTTATGATAGTTTTCTTCCTGGGCAAATGTTGGGCTAGACAGAGTAATAAGACATTTATTAAGAATTAAAATAAAAAGAGTAATTTTACATGCATTTAAAGGCAATATAACCACTAACATTTGTCAACATTTATTGATTCTGAGGACCTTTATTAAACACATTTTAATATATTATTTCAAAATTTTTTACTCTAAAACAGATATAGTTATTATTTTATGAATGAGGAAACAAATTCAGGGAGATGGAGAGATTATATCCAGGGCATGCCCAATATGATGGGGTTTGTACAATATAATGTAAACTCCTTTAACAAGAGAAAATAATTGATAATAATATATTCAAAATTAGGTTCCAAAATAATATATATTTCTCATAAGTAGATAAAAATCATAATTTAACAAAACTAATATATAACATATATATCTCCAAAGCAGAAAAAATTAACTATTCACATTACTTAAATCACATATGCTATAATACTAATACAAAATTATTTTTTCTTCCAAGGTCCTTTTCTGTATTTTGGGATTACATAATCTTTTATTTTTGCTTTGAGTGACATTTTTAAATGCTTTACACATGAATAAATTAAAGATTTTTATTCCAATTTGCAATAATTTACAATTTTGTTTTTGCCATAAATGTGCTTACTGTCAAATTGGAAAGTTTCTAACACTTTTTTCTACATGAGTTATATGATGCAAAAGTATCAGTATTCAAACTGTTTTAGCAATAAAATTCTGTGAGTTGGCAGTGTTTTACTATGATGCCATGTGAGTTGGCAGAGTTTGAGAGAGTGAAGGCAGAGAGAAAAGCATTTCTATATTGCAAGACTAGCAATAAAGCAGTCACAGTGCAATTTATTACAAACCACATGGCTACCTTCCTCCAAACCACAACTAAATTTAACTCAGTGAAATTATCCTTAAAGAGAAATCCGCAAAATTATTTTCTTCCATATGATACAAAGGAAATGGTATAGGAATGAAATCCAAAAGAAAAAAAAGCCAATGGCCTTGATCAATTTCATTACCTTACCTGATTTGAAAAGTTTACATATGTGGATATCAAGGCATGAACAGAAGGTCCAGGAAATTGACTGTCCTGAATCCTTAAGCTTTACTTTTTTATAGTAATTGAGGCCATCACTCTACAATTCCACTGGCCCAACGAAATGTATGACTATGGCTAAGAGGATGGGATTGAATTCTTTTTCTGCCTTGTTAGATAACATATTCATTATAGTATAATAATCTACTGATATTATATTTGTTTTAAACCATAAAAAAAGAAAAACTACCATGGCTTTTTTGTCTTGTCCAAGTGTCAGGTTTTGATTTCTATAAGCATCATGTGTGTTTGAGAAATATAGCAGAGTTGTTATCTAAGTACTTTGTCTATAATATGACTAAATTATTTAGATAATTATGAATGGAAGGGCTACACAGTTAACTCAGTTCTCAGTGACAACCTCAGAAATGGAAATTTATTTTTCTAAGATAAAAAAGTCACCAGAAATTATTTTCTATGTTGGAAACATATATAACTGTAAATGTTTGAAGAAGTTTAAATATAGTTACTATTATTTATTTATTTTAATTAAGTGTCTAGTACAAGATTACATAAATATTATATTTTTATGAGTATCATAGCTCATATTTATTGAACCAATACAGCGCTCTGGAGCCTGCACTAGAAGATTTCTATTCTACTTTTTATATCATTACATGTTCATGACATCCTCTTAAGAATTACTGAAATCCATTCAATTAATGAGCAAACTGAGGCACAGAGATGGGAGGCAACCTGCTTGAGGTAGTCTTCATAAAAAGTGGTGGAGTAAATTTTCAGATAAGAGTCTGCTGGTTTATGTGGGCTTGCTATATCATTTATTAGGCATGACTTCAGCACTTTTTTATACAAATGCAATTTGGTTTTGTATACAATGAGAACAGTAACTTGACACCATGAAACAATTTTTAAATTAAATAACATTTGCCAATGGCATCCATAAGAAATTAATATTCATATCCTGATATCTGGAATAAACTGAAAACATTCACTGGATTTCCCAACAGATATCTGTTTTTGCAAAATTAACAGCAGTTCATTAATTATACGATTGGATTATTTAAAAAAAGCATTATAATCAATTTCCCATGGTGATTGCATCATCTTTCTCTTTTGATAATATTTTTGCTGCCTGTGGCAAAATATAACTGATGAGATTTGTGAAATAATCTTATTCCAGTATAATTCCATTTCAAAAATAAAGAGATTAATTTACCTGACATATGTGCATTTCAGATAAGTTTTTCTCATGAGGTGGTATAATTTTTATATTTATATGTTATACATTAAAGCATGTTATATGAATTTTACATGCTTTAGAAGTACACATGCTTCATTTAATGTAAGCATTATTAAATGTAAAATTTTTAAAAATGGTTTTCTGTTAGTGGATTAGTTAATCCTTTATAATTTCTCATTTTATTTGATTCTGCAAGTTATCTATGACATACTTATTCAATTTGCTGAGAAGGAATTCTTTTCACTTTATAACTTTTAAATGCTTAATGAGAATTTTAAAATTTAATACTCTATATTAAGGATGATTTTACCTTGAAAATGGTTTATAAATTGGTCTTCTTTCTTTTATAGCAGGGGTTTTATATTTGTTTCTTTAATGTACTCATTTTAGGATAATTTATTCAGGAAGACTTTTCGATGTTAGCAACACTTCTATGTAACTATAAATATTTTGTTAAGTAGGGATATTTGTAACTATCTCTCCCAAGTAGTACACATATATTTTTCAGGTGCTATAAACAGGAAGCTTAACTTTGTAATGAGATACAGAAACTTGAGAATTACCATTAACTGGTTATCTGATCTTGGCCATGTGTCTTTAACTCTTTAAACCCCAGTTCAATAATTTGTAAACTAGAGATGACACTAACCAAATGGCTGCCTGAGGCTCCAATCAAACAATTCTATATATCCCTGTTCAAAAAGGACATGGAGTACTCTCATCCTAAGTCATTATGGGTATAAGCATTGTGTTTTAAATATTGAAGTAAAGATATTTTAAATATTGAAGTAAATGGTAGAGGGATGCTAATTGGGGGGGGGCTCAAAAGAAAACAGATGAAGATAAAAAGAGAGAAATAGAGAAGTCATGCCTGTAAGATGTGAGAGTAGACATAATTTCAAACAAAGAAGGTTATGCTGAAATTATGTCAGTATGTGTACACCTTGGATTCATTGCTATGTTATAAGATTACAAGCCACTTTGAGAGCTCTTTCTAACTTTGCCTCCTTTGGTGGCTTGTTTTGTTATTGTTATTTTTATAGAAAACTCTTAGTGCTAGTAATAGATCAAATATTACAAAACCCAGGAGATATAATAGCTTTTGATATATAAACTTTATAAAGAAAAGTAGAGAGTTAAATTGAGTTGTTATGTTCTTATAAAAAAAATTGTTAAAATTGTTAAAACGCTTTGAGGTATGTTGTCTGTGTTGACTAACTTTATTTTATGTGCATTGCAAACTTGTTTAAAATATCTATGAAATATTAGCAACATCTGTTCTTTCTGTTAACATTTTATATTTAAATTACTGAGAACTAACACCTTAACCTATTTCCCTTTAAATTTATAAATGTATTAACACATTACAATATGCCTTAAAATTCACATCTGTTGCCCTTACCACTAACTCTTTATATTAATTTTATTTTGTTGGGGAAATTGTGTATTACATTTAATTTGCATTTTTAAATTTTGAACTGCTTTTGCTATTGTTATAAAATTAATATATAGTAATGATTTTAAAACTGAATTAAATGGACATAAATGTATATATGTTTTCCTCTGAAATACTAACTAGGGATAATTTTCATCAGACATTTTTGTTGTATTCTTTCAGAAATTCTATGTAAATTGTTAAAAATGCTATTATGATGCTGATGGTGTCCTGTTTTTCAGTTCCCTGCCTGA